CTGTTGCTTACTTGGAGGGCCGGTATGGCCTACTGGATAAGACGCATCCCTCATGCGTCAGACCTGGGTTCAATACCCGGGTGCAACATTAGGCGGACAGGCGGACCACTACCCCACCCCTGTAGTTAAGGGGATGAGCTGGGGTGTAGTCCGTAAAAATTCTCTCAAATGTTGCTTACTTGTTGTACTGAGCAGTACATGCAGTGGCGAGCACTTTTTCTGCTCCATTGGAAACAGAAGCTAGGTCAGCTAGGTGATGGAAGTCAGGGGACAGAGACTGATACCTTCAAGACCCGTGCAAAGCCAGGTGAAACTTGAATGGCTGCAGAGTAGGAGAACAAAACCTTCCATATATGGTGGTTTCTTCACATGGGGGATCCCCAAAACCATGGGTGTCAATACCAAAATGGTTCAATTTGGGATGATTTGAATTTTGAATGCCCCCTATGGCTTAGTGCAATTGGTAGCCTTACCAATTCTAACCTTTCACCTTCAAATTGGAAACCTCTCACCGGCAAATGGTGATCAATGGAAAGTGCTAACGCTCAGCACGGTCGTTGCATGCTTTCCACGGTGCACGAATGTCCCTCCCTTGAGGTAGCGGCAGCGGTCACAGCAGAATCAGGAAGTACCCACAGTTATGTCATGTGTCACATGTTGCAATGGTAACTGGATTCTTTCATCACCCATATTCCTGGGTTCTTCCTGGTTCAGCCATGGCCATCTACATGTTTCTGCCATTTTGGCCACTTCTTCCACGAACAGCGTCTCCTGTTCTCGTATCTTTCTGAGCATTTCTTGTTTCTTCATTTTGCGACCAGATGTGAACTTCGGGTCGTATACCAGTCGCCATCGTTGGCCTGAACTGAGTAACTGCAGTATCACCTTTCGATCGTTTCGCTTCGTCAAGCTATCTGCGATTTGGGCAAGACCATTGACCCATCGCATTTCAGTCTGAACTTGTAGAGCTTGACAAACTGACAATGTAAGCTCGTAGCCTGCACGAGTGCTTCGCAGACCATGGAGAGCACTGACGCTTCTGGTCATTGCGTCAAATACTCCACGGCTATCCATCACGATAGCACCAGCTGTGAGCTCCTTGACCTTCTGGTACAAGTCATTCTTGTCAGCAAAACGATAACCAAAAAGTTCTGCAAGCATCGCTCTCACCCTGAAAGTTACATCTTCGCCCTCTGTAATTCCTTGGACTTCAGCTCCATTCGATCCAAGGCATTGGCGAGGTGTCTTTGAGGATTTCCATGTGACAATTGCTATCTCGCACTACCTTCCAGCAAAGCTCGTGGTGCAACTCCAGTTACCAAACCATATGTCGATGACTTGTCTGAACGATTGTGTTGTGAAGCATCGCACCATGTAACCACCGCTAAGTCTTTCAGACCGAGCTTCCATGCAGGGAAGCGCAAAGATTGTTGAGCATCTCGTTTGACCTCCCTCACCAGCTTGTTTGCACGCTGCAAAGTGTCTATTGTTGCGTACTTTACCTCCGATAGCAACAAACTGACGTCTGCTTGATATTGGGGGCCCGTCTGTGATGCTTTCCATGCTAGCGTTCCCAAAATGCCACGAAGTTGAGAAATCTCCTCGTTGGTCAAAGGAAGGTTCTTCTTGTCTGCACGCTGTCGATCAATGACACACTCTTCAAGCCACTTGTCGACATACGATTTCTGATTGATGGAAATGCTCATGTCAGAGTGCTGTTTGATGTCGCACCCTGCAAATGTGAACTCACCTTGCTGCCACTTGCCCCAGCGGTATGCCGCTTTCAGCTTCTTTTCTGCTTCCAAGAAATATTCACATGAGCGGTCTCCTCCTATCAGAAAATCATCTACATGCAAACCTGCAACGCCCACAATTCTGCCTGCATCAGGTGCATCAGGTGGGGCATGTAAAACAAAAACACATCGATCTGATAAAAGCCTCATCCAACCGTGTGCCTCCATTGTGCTAGCCACATGATCAAACCACTTTCTCGGCGCATGCACCAAACCATAAAATGCCTTGCAAATCTTGAGGATCTTCATAGGATTGTCAGGGCAAGCGCCAAACAAAACTGCCAGCTCAGCAGGTGCCCAAACATAGAGGTCCTCACCTTCAAGTGATTGTGCTGCTTGAAGGAATGCTGCAGAGACATCTCCTGCGGACAGCAGGAAGTTCAGGGTAGCGCAGATTGTCAGGATCAAGTTGCGAGAGATCCTTGACATGGTTGGTGCTGACGCCTGCACAGATGTCAAGTTGTGCTGCTGGTAACCCAGCACGACCAGGCGCGCTTTGGGAGTGCCATCTCCCTTCAAAGTCATCACCCAGCGCATGGCCATCACTTGACTGCGGTCAACTTTCAACTCTTCTTGGGCTGTCAAACTTCGAACTGCTTTCGATGCCATCACTTGAGATAGCTCACGGCACTGAGCCTCATCAAATTCTTTCTTTTGGGATAGTGGCATCTGGCTCCATCTCAGTTCTTTGCCCTTGTTCTCCATCTTCTTGGCTAGCCAAGCGGTTGCTCGCTTGGGATGCTCAGAAAGATAGTCCAACTCCGCCTCTTCCAAGGGAATCTCCAGGACATAGTACTGGCTTTCGGTGCCAATGTTTCGGGCCTTCTTGGTGGCAGGTCCATCTGGGATCAGCTCGTCAGCTTCATCAGAGCTGCTGCTGTCGGTCTCTGGTTCCACATTGACTCTTCCGCCATAGGGTTCCCATGAGAACTTCTTGCCCTCGGAATCTTCGTGGGGGCCATGATGTCCGCCTGGAAGGTCACAGTCTCGCACAACGCATCTATTCACTCCATCCCCAAGAGGAGGTTGTTCTCTTTGAGCTGGAACTCCATCCACAGCTGCTGCGCCACGGTCTCGTAGCGCTGTTGTAAGGGGATGCAAATCAGGAACTTCAGGCAAAAGCTGGCCGATGTTCGCATCGGTTTGTTCCCCTTCAGGAACAGTCAGCGCCTGCTCACCAGCGTCTTGTCCACTGGCTTGTTGTTGATGTTGTGAAACATTTGATGGCTGTGAGGATGATGCATCACGCTTCCTCACTGGCTTCTCCTTCGGAGTCAGCCTAGCCTTCTTCACTTCGGGCTTGATCTCAAAACGAGTCTCACCCTTCCATCGATCTTGTAGTTGACGATGAGGAGCATCTGTGGTGGTGAAGTCATCTTCAATGGTCACTAGCTGTGACCCAGGTGTCATTGACTTCACAATGGTGATTCTTTTTGCCTGTCAGCTTGTCCTCAGAGATTGGACTGGTTTGCGTCCTCGTTGGTGTAAACAAGGTCAGACGCGGTAGAGTATGCACTCTGACCAGCCACTTTTGTTGCCCATCTTCTTCAAACTTCCAAGTGTCAGGACGATGATCATCATCAGGCAAAAGTGCAACTTCTGCTCCTTGAACGTCATCTTGTCGCTGTCTTTCTGACGGCACATCTCCGGTGGCATTCACGTAGTGCTTGCCAGTGAAGCTTCTCATGAGAGAGTCAATGGTAGTCGGTGTTGAAAGAATGGCTGTTCCTTCCATCATGGAGTCCAGCGTCCCCTGCTTGGTGCATCTTCGGACTTGTGTAGTCCGAGCACGGATCAATGTTGATCCTGTCGAAAGCCAAAGGGTGTTGCCCTCTTGTAGTAGAAGGCGTACTGGTCCTACCCAAGTGCCACTGACTTTTCCTGGCTTGTTCTTTTGTCTCCAAAGCATGACCAGGTCGCCGGCTTTGAAGCTCTGAGGTGGTCTGCCGGCACTGTTGTTCAGCTTTGACAATCTGTCCTTTGCAGACTCCATCTCATATGCAACCTTGGCCTTCTCTTTCAGCCGCAGAAGTCCACCAAACATCTTTTTCGGGTTCTGCCCTGCCAGGGGCTCGTCGCGGTCAGCGCCGCCACGAAGCCACTGAAAAGGTGAATATCCCGATGGCCCAATGGCCTCATTGTGTCCATGTGCTGCAAGCTGAAAGATGTTCTCCATGGCCAAGTCTGGTTCTTCTTTGAGAAGACGCACTGCCGTTTCTTTCAAAACTCTAATGCATCCTTCTTCGGCTCCAAGCATCTCATGCGCCTCAGCTGGCGTCGTAAGGACGCCCACTCCACTGTTGCCATAGAACTCGAGGATCTGGTTGGATGTGAAGTATGTTGCGCTGTCTGTGATAACCCACTGTGGTTTGGGATTCACCATCAGCCACTTGCAAAAGGCTGCAATGATGTTGTCAGTTGTTGGTTCCCAGTTGCCAGTGTAGGTTTGGAGAAATTCCAACATCACATAGCCTGAGGCCCTGTCACGCATCAAAAGAAACTTATGTTTGAAGCCTGCATGATCGACCTCAAAGCAGTCCATACCCAGAATCTGGAACAGAGTTGGAGTTTCTCCCAAGCTTGCCACGGGTGCTGGTCGTGCACGTTTGGCTTCTATGCATGATGGACACTGGAGCTTGCCTGCCAATTCAATTGCCCACTTCGGAGCCTTGCGAACTGTCAACAACTTCTGAAGTCTTGAGAAGGGTGCGTGCCCAGAAGCTCGATGGATCCGCATCATCTGTTGACGGATCAGTTCAAGCTTCCTGCCAGTTGGAGCTTGCTCAGGGAATCGATTCCTTGTGAGAGCAAAGATTTCTGGGCTCTCATCACGAACTCCTTGGCAGGGGTTGACCTCCTCGTTATTCACATCAGCGTCCTTGATGTCCAGCAAGTAGTTGTTGACGTCATCCGCAATGCTGATGTTGTGTTCCTCCTCAGGGGCTTGCCAATGGCCTACAATGGCTTTGACAACCGCCGTGATCATCTTGGCTGGGTAATATGCACAAAATTGCGCAACTGGCCCTCTACATTCGCAGTGCTGTTGGTGGCCAGGACATCGATGATGTAGGCTCAACCACAAGCTCTTGCATGTGGTGAGGATCAACCAACCTTTTCTCACTGGTAAGTTTTGATACGCCAGTCCATAGGCGCAACCATCAAAGCGGCACCAGTATGCAACCCTGTTGTACTTCTTGAACAGCTTCAGCAAACGTGAGATGGCAAATGACTTCCAACCTGTTGATGCTGAAGCCGGCCACTCCCACGCTATATCTCCTCCATCACGCAAGATTGGTTCACATCCATCTGCCACTTCCGAAGCTCGCTTGAGATCTTGACGTTGTCTCTTCTGAAAGTTTGCCCATTCAGCTTCCGATCTGGGGGTCAAATTGACCAATGAGGTGAGTCGGGTGCAAGGCAAACTGACCCAACCAAAACGTGGTGGATGTAGAGCTATTTCATGCTGAAGCATCTTCGTGCCTCGAGAACTGGAGAGGTCGTAGCCCTCAAGGTAGTTGGCGCGCTTGATGTTGTAGCCCATGCTTGCCATCTCATGTGACAAGGACGAGTTTGCTGAGCACGCAATCTCCAGGAAATCAGGTCGGTCTTGGATCTGTCCAAAAAGTCCAAGAACAGGTCCAAGTAGCATAAGGCCCAACATGGCCGCATTCTTTGCCAACTTCTTTGCCAAGTTCGGCGCAACCAGGTTCTTGTCAGACGTCATGTTGACTGGGGCATTGGCAAAACTGCCGCGTGAAGGTGCCTGAATCTTCATGCCATGCTTGTCCACAAAAGTTGAAGGCACCTCAGTTTCCATAGACCCTTCAAATGAATGTTTCTCCGCCAGCACGCGCTCATCTGTCGTGGTGGCCAAGTCCATGTTGAGGTCTTTCGAATTTGGGTGCTGTTCCCTGACAGCCTCATAGTTTTGCCCACTGTCAACCTTCTCGCCATCAGTCATGTTGTTGGTGTACTGTTCACCCACAGTCTCATAGGTTCCATGTTGCCCATTCAATTTGCCCTGAAGCTCGGACAACTTCTGCTTCAGGATCTTCAGATGGCTCACCCTTGTGCTTCCGGTGGCGCAGAGGAAGACACGCTCACCGCATCCTCCGCCATGCTCCACTCTCGCATGTGCGCGTCCTGAACTGCCATCTCCGTCTCCTTCTCCGTCGATGGCTTCTTCTCGATCTTCAGATGGCCGCGTGTGGATGCCATGGATTCCGCCGCTTTCTCCACCAACTCCACAGCTTCTTTGGAAGCCTGTCCCATCGCCGTCTCCTTCAGCTTCTGGACCAGCTCCTTTGTAGCCGCCTCCTTCATCTCTGGTGTCAGGCTGGTCTTGGCTGCTCTCGATGGTGACTTGTTGCGCTCTGGAACCTCCATGTTCATCCTCTTGAGGTACTCGCGGTACGTCATGTTGATGGCCATCGTGTTGGTGACGCCATACTGAAGCATCTTGCCCTGTGCCTCCATCAGTCTGCCGTTCACGATCTTCTCGTTGCATTGGTCCGGACTGGTAGTTTTCTCCAGACTTTCCATCACTGACCTGATGGTATGTGGCACTGGGCCCATATGTCGGTGATCCCCGCTGTACCCCTTCTTGGCCTTGTAACTCAGTCGAAGGCCGCATTTGGTGCATGTCTGCCAGGAGGCGTACTGGTTGTTGCGCTCCTTCGGGTGGTGACTGGTCCAGCAGGGATATCCTTCTCTGCGAGGATCGTCTTGGGCACATGGTTCCATCTTCAGCTGGTTGTTGCCCTCTGAGCTGGTGAAGCCTTTGAGCCAACAGCTGAAGTCGATCAGGGAGTGAGGATGTACTCTTGCAAGAAGTGCTCATGACGTAGAGTGGCAAGAAAACTTCACCGCATGAAACTTCTGAAACATTTTCACATGTTGATGCCGTAGAAGATGAAAATGTGGGAAGTGATTGAATCATAAAATTGTCATTTTCCATCATGAGTGCATTCTCCCGCAGGTCCAGTGTCATGTGCCATGTTGGAAGGATCTCGATGGGAACTGCAAAAATACTGTTCTCCGTGCCATCCCAAGGTCCAGCCTCAAAAATGAGTGTAGAGTTGGCATAGGAAATATGGGCTCGTTGATGGAAAAGCACCTTGGATCCGAGCAGAGGTGGTGTATCCTGAGCTGTTCCACCCAAAACGTAAAACGAAACCTGGCCAATAGCGGTTCCTTCAATGTCAACTCTGCTCATGGCTTGCATCTTCAAACCGTTCCCAAAACGAAAAATTGGCCTATCATCCACATGAACACTGTATGCAAATTGACCATAATGTAACAGCTTCTGAAGTGATGCGGAGCCAACTGCGCTCTCTGAGGCCCCGGTGTCAATCACAACCCTGGTGTAGCTGTTACGAGCCTTCGCATCTTCATTCCACATCACAGTCAAAGTGCAAACATCTGCGTAAAAATTCTTCCCTTTCACTTTTGACTTCCCCTTGCCTTTTCCTTTGCTCTTGCCTTTGGATGCAAATCCCTTGCCTGCACCTTTTCCAAGACTGAAACGATCTGGGCACTGAGCTATGGTGTGACCCTTCATGCCGCATCGAAAACAAGGCCCAGACATCTTGCCTTTTCCAGATGACTTGTTTCCAAAACCCTTGCCTAGCATTCGTGAAGCCGTTGATGAAGAAATGCCTTTTCCAGAGCTAGCTTCAGGAGAGTAGTAGCCTCTGGCAGCTCTCACCTTCTTCACTGCCTCACGCGCCTCTTGCAAAGTCCTTGAAGCTTCATTTGCCAGAGCATAGGCCTCTCGAAACTGAACTTCGTCTGGATCTTGGGCTGTCTCGTCAGGGACAACCTCATCCTCCTCTTCGTTCCAGTATGCAGCATTCTCGTCGTCGTCGTTCCAAGCCCAGTCCTCGTCATTCCAGTAAGTGTCATTGGGCTCATAGTACCAGGAACCATCAGCATCAGGCCACTCATTGTCGCCTGCATCATCGTCCCAGTTATCTGCATCATTCCACAAAGCGCTCTTTGCAAACCTTTTGTAACTTGTAGGCCGTCCCATGGCCTCATCTTCAGCGAACAATGCACGCAACGCTCGCTTGATGATCTCGAAGTCGGTCATGTTGTTTGTCTGAGTCAGGATGTTTTGACGTTCCTGACGTGTTAGATGAGCTGCCTTCAGAAGCCTGTAACCTCGCAATTCATTTGACCAGAAATCAGTCGTATCCAGAGACGTTGCAACACGAGCACCGGAAACACCCGCTGCTGCACCTGCCGTCTCTGCCACGCCTGAACCAGTTGATTGCTGCTGTGCAGTAACCCCTGAATGCCAGTTACGACGTAGATTCAAAGGACTTCCAACACTGCCCATACCTGTAGGAGAGGGATCCATGGCTCGTGGAACCTCCGGAATGGCCTGTGGCCTTGGTCCACGATCCGATCTCGCTCTCGCCAACGCATTCTGCATCTGCAACCACAAGTCTTCTTCTCGGACAAGTAGCTCTGCTATGCTTTCATGCTCCTTGCGTCTCAACGCATGCCATTTCTCCAAACGACTAAAGGAGTCAGGAATGGGTAGTGCTTGGAGAGGTGATGTCCTAAGAACTTGTAACAGCTTTGACAACCCATCATCTCCAGAAAATTCATCCGGATCTAAATGCTTCACAACCGACTTGGCCGCACCTTGCAATCTGCTCCAAACTCTTGCCGCTGACTGACGCCTTTCAGAATCTTTCAAACCACGTTCGTACCACTTGCAGGAAACCTCAAAGGTTTCAAATTCCGCAGGATCCCCTGACCAGGTAGGTATATGGCTAAAGTCTTCGCCAGGCATCTCAATCAGCAAGATCAGGCAGCAAATGCACAGTGCGGAGCCCGTCCCTGGAATCGCGCCAGGAAAGAGCTCCCGCTACCATGCAATTGGTAGCCTTACCAATTCTAACCTTTCACCTTCAAATTGGAAACCTCTCACCGGCAAATGGTGATCAATGGAAAGTGCTAACGCTCAGCACGGTCGTTGCATGTTTTCCACGGTGCACGAATGTCCCTCCCTTGAGGTAGCGGCAGCGGTCACAGCAGAATCAGGAAGTACCCACAGTTATGTCATGTGTCACATGTTGCAATGGTAACTGGATTCTTTCACTTAGGAAACCCATCATCTTCAATACGTCGGATGATTTCGGATGAGAAGGTCGCCAGACCCGAGCGACCAGCAACCGGGCTCCTTAGCAGCGGTTGTTTCTGCACCCGAGTTCCTCACAGTCGTGTGCGCCGCATTCAACATCCTTTCCTTGCTGTGCGCCTCCTGGCGGAAGGATGGTGGATGGTCCCTCCATGGTTTTCCACAAGAACCGCTCCGGGATGCGAAACCAAGAACCAGCCATAACAAACACTCTGAGAGTCTGAGAGTCTGAGAGCTGGATTTCCATCGAGAATTTGCCTCTGACTCTACAACCACACAGCCCCACCAAGTCACCTGGCCTGTTGAAGCGATTGGACTCGGGATTCTGCGTCCATGCGTGCCTCAATTTCCTGTCAGCTGGAGTTGTGACTTAGTGTAGCCAGGTGGATCACTCTTCCCCACAAGATTATGTGACACCTATGGATTTCCACAAATGGGGGTACCCCAATAGCTGGATGGTTTATAATGGAAAGTCCTTTTAAAATGGATGATTTTGGGGAACCTCCATGGATTGGACACCTCCCATCTAGTGGTACACCGAATCCCCGCCATCACAGCCTTCTTCAAGTCCTCCTGGCATCTCTTTCTGTCCTGGAGCTTAGGTAGCTTGAATGACTTCAACAACCAAATAAATAAATAAATATATATATATAATATATATGTATACTGTTTGCTGCGCCACTTTGCAACTTTGGAACTTCGTTTGTGCCCAAAAACTGGAGGAACACCTCATATACACCTAATTCTCAATGTTTCATATCACCAGCATATACATCTTCAAGTAGTGAAATATTGTTGCACACAATTTTGATAGAAGGATGATTCAGAACATGCTGGCAATGAGCCGTGATCAATAACCCCCCTGGTTACTTTCTTTCGTTGCCGCCAACACCCAAACGAATGAAGAATACGAACCATCAATGTAGAACAGTTTCTTCCCCAAATTAATTCGATATCAACATGAATCTCAGGTTGATATTACCGGAAAGTCCCTGTCACCATTCTTGCCTGTTGCAGCGCATCAATGGTCTTTTCTGCCTGGCCGTATTCATAGATTTAAAGAACGGTGATCACCTTGGGTGATGAAGTTATCCATGGGACAAACATCTGCGGGTCCAAGTGCCTTACATTTAACATCATTTGACCTACATGGTCCATCAATGGTCCATCACGCAATGAAACATATGCTATGATATGCTATGATTAAGATTGTGGTGTTCCGACTCCCGCTGCATGGATTGCATGGATTGCATGGGAGGTCTTCCAATGGTTTCACGCCCTACAATATGTTAAGAGTAAATGATGCAAAAGCAGGCGAATCTTCTACACGTAATCAGTTTTGAGTCTTGACTCAAACAGAAAACACTGTCCATTGTCATCTCTCATCATCTCTCGTTAGAGTAGACGACATCTGTGAGTCATGTATTTGGGCCACAGAATACACATTCTGGCCTGGTACAGGTTGTCCTTGCACATCTCGTTTTCCTGGACAGCGCTCGTGTTTTCTTTACAGCCACAAATACGCTTGATGGTGCCACTCTGCAACTTCGGAAATGCCTTTGCGCCTCAAAAACTGAGAGTACCGTGTACTTATACCTCGTTTTTACGGTTTCACAATGTTTCAGATCAACAATATATATATATATATACACCATTATAATGTCAAGTGGTCAAAGATTGTTGCTCACAATTTTGATCGAAGGATGATTCAGAACATGCTGGGAATGAGCCGTGATCGATTCCCCCCTGGTTACTTTCTTTCGTTGCCGCCAACACCCAAACGAATGAAGAATACGAACCATCAATGTAGAACAGTTTCTTCCCCAAATTAATTCGATATCAACATGAATCTCAGGTTGATATTACCGGAAAGTCCCTGTCACCATTCTTGCCTGTTGCAGCGCATCAATGGTCTTTTCTGCCTGGCCGTATTCATAGATTTAAAGAACGGTGATCACCTTGGGTGATGAAGTTATCCATGGGACAAACATCTGCGGGTCCAAGTGCCTTACATTTAACATCATTTGACCTACATGGTCCATCAATGGTCCATCACGCAATGAAACATATGCTATGATATGCTATGATTAAGATTGTGGTGTTCCGACTCCCGCTGCTGCATGGATTGCATGGATTGCATGGGAGGTCTTCCAATGGTTTCACGCCCTACAATATGTTAAGAGTAAATGATGCAAAAGCAGGCGAATCTTCAGGCGAATCTTCTACACGTAATCAGTTTTGAGTCTTGACTCAAACAGAAAACACTGTCCATTGTCATCTCTCATCATCTCTCGTTAGAGTAGACGACATCTGTGAGTCATGTATTTGGGCCACAGAATACACATTCTGGCCTGGTACAGGTTGTCCTTGCACATCTCGTTTTCCTGGACAGCGCTCGTGTTTTCTTTACAGCCACAAATACGCTTGATGGTGCCACTCTGCAACGTCGGAAATGCCTTTGCGCCTCAAAAACTGAGAGTACCGTGTACTTATACCTCGTTTTTACGGTTTCACAATGTTTCAGATCAACAATATATATATATACACCATTATAATGTCAAGTGGTCAAAGATTGTTGCTCACAATTTTGATCGAAGGATGATTCAGAACATGCTGGGAATGAGCCGTGATCAATTCCCCCCTGGTTACTTTCTTTCGTTGCCGCCAACACCCAAACGAATGAAGAATACGAACCATCAATGTAGAACAGTTTCTTCCCCAAATTAATTCGATATCAACATGAATCTCAGGTTGATATTACCGGAAAGTCCCTGTCACCATTCTTGCCTGTTGCAGCGCATCAATGGTCTTTTCTGCCTGGCCGTATTCATAGATTTAAAGAACGGTGATCACCTTGGGTGATGAAGTTATCCATGGGACAAACATCTGCGGGTCCAAGTGCCTTACATTTAACATCATTTGACCTACATGGTCCATCAATGGTCCATCACGCAATGAAACATATGCTATGATATGCTATGATTAAGATTGTGGTGTTCCGACTCCCGCTGCATGGATTGCATGGATTGCATGGATTGCATGGATTGCATGGGAGGTCTTCCAATGGTTTCACGCCCTACAATATGTTAAGATTAAATGATGCAAAAGCAGGCGAATCTTCAGGCGAATCTTCTACACGTATTCAGTTTTGAGTCTTGACTCAAACAGAAAACACTGTCCATTGTCATCTCTCATCATCTCTCGTTAGAGTAGACGACATCTGTGAGTCATGTATTTGGGCCACAGAATACACATTCTGGCCTGGTACAGGTTGTCCTTGCACATCTCGTTTTCCTGGACAGCGCTCGTGTTTTCTTTACAGCCACAAATACGCTTGATGGTGCCACTCTGCAACTTCGGAAATGCCTTTGCGCCTCAAAAACTGAGAGGAGTGCCTAATTTTATGGGTTCCCATCACCAATGACCAAGATATCAATAAACCAATTATCTCAAATTGTTTTCCGCAAATAACAAAAGGAATGCTGAATCAACATGGGTTTGTCTGAAAAGGGATGATCAGACGGGTTACATACCCACAAAATCCCATAAAAAATCATACATGGCAATTTTACAGTACTTAATGGAAAATGATGATACACCATGAAATTTTGAGGTACATCGTTTTCAATCGAACCCCTGATTTATCCATCCCGTTTTACTGGATTGTAAACCTGTATGCTTTTATTATGGGTAACTTGACAATCCAGTTAGCATAGCCCTTTATACCGACCCATCAACAGGGGTCTCTTCGATAGCTCGCATAGTTCATATGGGGTTGATATTATTGAAGGACCCCACCGTTCCAATTGGAACCTGCTGCAGCTTCTCAACCTTTATCTCTGCCTGGACTTATCCAAATTGGGTACCAACATGAACCAACGACCACACAATATTCATGGGGATATCCATCAAATAAACCCATCTGTTGCTTCAAAACGTGCAACATACAAAATATGACCAACATCTGTGGTTTGGCCTTCAATTTTGACCCATGATCTCATCTCAATGCCGACATATTGCGACAAAATGATTGGACCAGCTTGGGATCACCAAACAGCAAAACGGCTTGAAGACAAGGGTGGATTGTGCATTCCGCGTAGTATGTCGGTAGTAACATATGATTATACTTTTATTGATAGTGTTATAAATGTATGTTATCGTGCACACTTCAACTGCGCAGCGGGGCGTTTCACACCAACACTCGGACAGTGAGCGCATCATGTGCGCGATACCCCAAACATACCCTCAGACTTCATAAATCTTATTTCGAAATAATGGATTCTACTTGGGGTATGCAAACCAGACCTCCAATCGAACTTGTTCAGCACTGTCTGTCCGCTGTCGTTCTTCATGCAGCATTTGCTGGGTCTCGACCCGCTTACGCTGGGCCTCATGGAGCAGCTGGGCACACATAGCGATGGGAAAATGACCGTCTTGGCAATGTTGAAGGAAAATCACCTACAAATGGGTATTTGTCCATAGCTATGTCAGAAATCCTTGGATTTGGGGGGCAACAGCAGTTGGTATTACCATGCTTACAATGCTCCCATTTGGATTCTTCACGTTTCCATTGCTTTCATCGGGAGTGGATGATAGCTCTCAGGAGCAACAATGTGGTCAGCCCGATAAAAAAATCAGTTAGGGAATGATTTTTACCGACTACTTCTATATAGTAAAACTGGTGATGGTGATTATTAAAATTATTATGTTCTTGTTGGGTTTACCGCGTTAGCTCAAACTAAAAAGGTCTTGAACACAGCAGTAACTCCCAGGCACAAGTCAGATTATCAGGGACAACTCATGGTCAGCTCATATTTCTGAATCTTCACGAAATGAATTCACCATTCCTTCAGAGAAACTATCAACCTACCATCAATCTTTTTCCATATATTCTTGTCTAAATATATATATAGTGTTTTCCATGGATCAGTACTCATATTTGTAATTGTAGATGGTAAAGTACCCTTCACCAGGTTGACCCAAACATTTTTTCGTCGAAAAATAGGTTTCTCTAAACTCTAAACATAAACTATAATACAGTAGGATAGAACAAAATTCCATGGTTTACATAACTCTCCGCATGATTTGTATTTTGGATATCTACCATTTTGGGACAAACCAAAACATTATGTTGCTGGTTGTGTATCCTACTATGCCCATTTGACCACCGTGAAAAAAATGATGGTTTTAAGGCCATTCATCCCACTTTTTCCATCACATTCTTTCATCTTGGTGGTTGGTCGTATGATAATTAGATCTCATATGGCCATCGTTTTTACGCTCTGGCAATGGATGTTCACCCCCTAATTGGGTCCATAGATCTTAATCCAGCCCTGTATCATATCCACCCTCTGGTAAGTTAAACTATAATTATGTGTTAGTGTCGAAACATGGTACGGTATAGATGGTATAGTCTAGTATATGGATGTATATGGTTTATGGTCATCCATCCGATCATGGAATCCGAACATCATGGGTATTTAACTATGGAAATCGATTGATTCCAATCCCCCTTTTGGGCTCGGAAGCTCGAGTTTTGACCGTGGTACCCTCCCGTACACCATTGATGATGTGCCTAGGGAAAGAGGGAAAGCATGGGTTTTCCACAGTGTTTACCCTAGGTTAGATCATTTTCCTCGGGGAAACCCCCATGTTTCTTCGCCTCTTGGACTTCCTTCTCGGCTTCCACCAGCGACATTTCCAGCCGTTTCACTTGTTCGAAGGATGGCCCCTGCCATGGCCACGTGAAAATTTCGAAAAAACATAGGGAAAAACCAATTGGGCAAGAGACCCCAAACACTGTGGGGGGTAGGAAGTCAATGTACCAGATACAAGAAACAGCTATGGAACAGTAACAGTAACAAATCAGGTTAGGGAAAGCTATCAACCAACTGAAAATCATGAGATGAGTATTTCCAATGGCGCAGTTGAGAAAAATGGTGGAAACTGGACACGCCCAAAATGGTAAGTTTATCATAAAACTGATGATAAACCAATGGATGTCGATGCAGGGAATTTGTCACCTCAATTTTCAGAGAAGCCAATACAAGGGGGATATGCTACCCGCAATGTGGCTAATAATAGGGAGGTAATATTAACCAACAATCATGCAAATAGGATATGGCTATGCCTCAAAAAACGGGTATGGATCGCCATGCGGTAATCCGGACGCATGCAACGAAGGAGTTGCACAAATGATCTCAAATGAATTCTATCTCTTCAAAAGGGTATGGATCGCAGGTATGGATTGGGGGTATGGATGAGGACCTTACATTTTGAGCTGCAGCCATATAATGGCAGCATAAGACCAACCATATTCCGGGATATCGTGGAAATAAGCGAGGACTATATAATAGTATGATATTTGCACTGCATGTAACTTATAATATGATCATGATAGAACAGATACTGTAAGTCTCTCCGAACATCGAGCATTTTGAGCACTTTACAGCCATCAAATAATGACAAGTATGTCTGTAATAAACCATGAGATTTGGGGGTACTATTTTGGAAAATGGCTAGAACATGCTAGAACTACGTAGAAATGGGATTATATACAAGACATAATAGACATACAAGTTACAAAGTGACCAAATCGCCGGTGCTGTGCAACTTACCCAATCATACCCAATCCATCAAATTCATGGGCTAAAATGGCTAAAAGATCTGGAAGGGCTGCGAAGCCTCATCGAAATGCGGGATTTGACCAACCTCTCATGGGAATGTCTGCCCACAAACACGATGGTATCAAGAGAAGTGGGGGGTCAAGCAGAGAAGACATGAAAAGACTGGGAATATCTGGGAATGCAAATAGGAGGCCCACATTCTGTGGATGCAGCTGGCAAAAAAATGGGAAATGCTGTAGCCAATAAACACCGGGACTTATTGTTGCCCAACAAGAACTTAAATTACCATAGGAAGGTACACCTTTGCAACAACTAAAGAGCCACGACATCACCCTAGTGCTTCCACGAGAAATACAGGGAAAACATAGGAAAGCCATGGAGCCCCCGTTGTTCGATCTTTTTGAACATATCTAGACCCTCCAAGTACCGAGAAAAGTGTGGTAATATCAATATCCCCATGATTCTCGGACTATTTCACCATCTTTTCCTGATGGTTATCTCATTTTTGTGGGCACTTGGAGGGTCTAAGTAATTTCTATATTTTGATATATCTTTCTATTATTACATTATATAATTTAACATTAATTAACCACACATTAAACAGCAACGGTTTTCCCCGCAAGGCCACATCGGCCTTGTCCTCCGGCTTCACCGGCGCTAACTCTGCAGGCTCTGCAGGCTCTGGCGCTGAGGACTCGATCAAGGCGAGCTCGTCATCTCTGGAGCAAAACATTAAGGGATTTTGCATGGATTTTGCATGGATTTTGCATGGATTTTTTGTGACATATTGGATTCAAAAATCTGTGGGATAACATATGATCACATTCAAATCCATCAACATTTGACATATTTAAGTGACTCATTTGATTCAAATCGAGTCAAATGCTGTGGGTCGGTTAACCGTTAACCAATTCACGACATCTTGGAACTTGGTATCGATCCAGCCGGGATGGTCAGATGGTCATGATGTGTATATGGCCTGAATGGCTAGTTTGTTGCTAATCCTGGTCAAAACTCTAGGTCTGCTAGGAAAACTTTGACCAGTGCCTCAAAATAAAGAAATAAAATTAAATAAGTTAAAACATGTTAAAACCATTTAAAACCAACACATCAAAATAAAAAGCGAACATCAGCCACAGATTCTCCTCCGTCTGAATAGTCATAACTTATCATAACTTAATGACTTAATGCGTATACCGTTTCCAGATTGTATCCACAGGTTGCCCCCGTATAAGCCCTATACTATTTCTGGGATCTTGTGGGATCTATACCAAGTACCATGTATAGATGGCCCATTTTACCTGGTGGATCCTGGGACGGAATATACGGAATGCAACGACAAAAACCACCTCAAAAAGATCTGATTCAAACAAGTCTAATTTACCACCATTGACAATTGAATATATAGTCTTATACTGTATTATGAAGATTTATGAAGCAGGTTTGTAGTTTCTTGAATGCACACAGATTTATGAATTGAAGAATACCCTGTCAGGTTTTTGGTATTTACTCCATCATTCACCAGCCGTTGCTCCCAGTTACAGCTCCAGGGTCAAGTGAAGCCCTCCATCGTCTTTATCCACCTCAAGGGAGTGCCCCCCCAAATATCCCAAAAAATGGATGGTTGATGTTGATTTCACACATCTTTTAAACATTACCATAAGTATCCATAAGTATCCATAAGTATCCATAAGTATCCATAAGTATCCATAAGTGGGAAAATACAACATAGGTGGGCTTAGGGTTTAGGGTCCTTAAGATTTGAAAGGTTCAACAGTTTCAACTTGACTACTGGAGCACTGCTTCGATTTTAGATCTGAGGTTCAAGTCAAAGCGCCAGTTTACCAGAAAACAGCCAACTGCCAACTGTCATGGATCACAAGTAGCGGGTGCAACATCTGCAACCTTTGATCCGACATGATCCGACATGATCCGACATCATACAGTATCAATCTTTGAAGGGAAAATCTTCAAGGAGTTGAATGATGTTGACATATTGCAAGCTGAAACTGATCAACCGACTGTGAAGTTATTGGAGTTATTGGCGATTGCAGACCAGGTGCGATGAAATCGTAGATGTCCCCCATGCGCTGCTCCTCATCCTGAACATCTGGCAATCAAATGTGAATCCCCCCATATGGCATTATACGTATTGAATATTATTGAATTGTATTGGATATTATAGGTATTGAATATTATTGAATATTATTGAATGGTATTGAGCCATCCCCACATTGGAATTTGATGGAATTTGGGAAATGGGCAACGCATGGCAAAAGTCGCGGCAATAGCAAGATTAGCAAGCAGCCTCCAATTCCTCGCCGGCCATCAACATCTTCCTCAGTAGAGATGGGAGCACAACAAGCACTTAGAATTTGTAGTTTGTCAACAGGAACTCCCCTAAAGAATGGTAAACGATGATGAGGAATGGAATTCCGGTAGGCTTCTTCAGACCCACCACTTCGATTGCTTAGGGGTTCAGCTTTTCAGCCCCAGTTGTAGCCATGGCACACTCTGTCCCACGGAAGGTCCACATCATTGCCATCCTTGTCCTTGAGCTTAAGGTGCTTTGGGAGGCTCCTGCAACATCTGCAACTTTCAATTTCTTGTCGTCAAATGTCGTCAAATAGATTCAAATGGTGCAAAAAAGCCTCTTCTATTCAGCTTTGCATACTTCTGGAATTTATGATTCATATTGATTCATGATGATTTATGAGCAACACACATTTACTTCGCACAGCGGAGACGACTTTAGAACTTCTGCAGTCAAGGCTCTTACGAAGGTCGCAGGGCTTCATGGCCTTGGGAACCAGCAACTTCCTCTCAATCTCTGGAATTCCTCAAGGGAGATGTTTCACATGGTTTCATGGGGATTCAACCCTCAAAGGTATCCCCCCAACTAAAATAGTCAGGGTTTTTTTAAGGGCTTATTAACATTTTATTAACATTTATTAATCACATTTAATCACCAACAATCTCTGAGAGCTGAAGCAGCTATCATTGGGTTCACCTGGGTCACCTTCCAATCCTGTTTTTCCGTCCTGGAGTCGCTGGTTGATTGACCAGGACGGGCACGCGGTCAGGATATTTCCTTGGAACAAAAAGAAGCTGAGAAACTGACAGATATTGATAGAAATTGAATGATTCATTGAATTAATTGAATATAATTGAATTCATTGACCATTGGACCACCATTCATCAGAATTCATCACCACTTTTTGTGTTCCAGTAGGCTCCCGTAGACTACAGCGATCAGCTCTGACATCCTGCAGCTGGGCCAAGAGTCAGCCGCATCTTCTTGGCCTTCTCTGCTTGGCCAAACTCATCCGTCATGACTGTCATCACCTATGCAGCTGAAGCCATCTGAAAAATGGTCAAATGTGACCTCTGGTGACTGTCACGATGTGAATGGCTGAGTGGCTCCCGCCTGGTTTGCGGAGGAATCCTGGACGCGACCGACCCATCAACTGGGTGACTTGGAATGGAATGGTCGGAATGGTCCCCAAATGGTTGGAGAGTACCGATGGTTCCTCATGGTTCATCCGGCCGAGTTGGGCCAAGCTCAGCCATGCTTAGCCCACCATATGTCCAGATTCCTCCTGCATTCCTGTCACATCCTTTCACTCTAGGCCTTGAATCATCATGACCCGTCACATCGTCTCCAACTTTATTTGCCTCTGCCAATTTTGCTCTGTTCTAGACTGTACAACAGGACCATAATGGACAATCTCTAAGATAGTCTACCATCTACCAATGTTGACTCGTTTTGAACTTCCATTTTAGTTTGTTGTCCTTGTGTGCAAACCATTCTGATATCTCCAACTAAGAAAAACATGTTGTTCCGGGTCGTCAAGAAACTTGATATCCCAAGAATTGATGATCATTTAGTAATAAAACATGATGAAACCAGCAAACATCGTGTTTTGCCGGGTCTTCATTTTCGACCCGGTGTGTCCCAGCTCTCTTCCCAGCATGGGTCCTTCATCTTGAATTCCACGAAAGACTTGGACATATCAATCTCCTAGCAGACGCAAACACCCTACCAAAGGGGAACTATGCACCTGCCACCATCAAATTTTGTGACTGAACCATACTAAACCAAACAAAATAGCCTAAATATGATTAAAACTGATTAAATAGATCAAAAGGGCTTACAGATGTCATACTGTCCATCTTTGACAACAAGAAAAGCCATAGAACGATGTGGATCCTCCTCAGGCTCCGAGCTCGATTTCACTTCGGCCTCCATGGGGCACGAGCCATGAATTCTTTGGGGATCAAGTCTCAACATGTTGGAGATTTCATCTCATTTCATAGTCTTTAATCCTCTAATGCACTGAATCTCAAATGGAATTCTATGTCCTGGCTATCATACTCCCCATTTACAAACGGTTCTTTAACAACAATTCCTATTAACGTATGTTAACGTCACGGTCCCGCTAAAACAAGGATGTCCATTGCCCATATACTGGATGAAGAACATTGAAGAACCCATGTGGCAATGAAATATCTCAAGTTCACCAGGAATAGGTCGTATACACCATTGCCCGAAAGATTCCGAAGAGGTTAAGCAATTACCACCCAATTTGAGGATTGGATCTGACACATTTTGCTCACTAATGGGCCCACCATTTGAATCACCCAGTTTTGGATGTCGTCCCACACCTGAGATGTGCTTAGCGGATCTGTGCAGGCAGCTCCTCAGATTGTAGGTTTGCGCAAAATGACACTATATTTCCCTGACTTCGACGTTCGTGTTCTCTGACACAGGTTCCCTGACACGGTCGTGTATTCTCTGACACCGTCTATATTAACCAATAATTGTTGTACCGATTCCAAATCGATATAAAGTGGAATGTCACTGGTATCCAAAAAATCGGCTTTTTGTCCAACCACAATTGGGGTATAGACAAGGTGTAGATCAGCTAATGATACCATAATGTCCAACATGTGGTATACGCAAACCAATACGGAGGAAACGTTCCATAATTATGGGGGAATTGGATGCTTATTTGCCGGTTTATTTAGTAGGGATACAATCGTATCTGTAACCAACCTCCATCTTCCAACGCTACATTTATATTTGCTCCATGTTTTGGACCAAACGAGTGTTTTCTGATTCGAGCTGCTTTTGTTCAAACGAGCGCATCTTCAATTCGTGCAATATTTCACTATTTTAGGAGATACCTTGAGATATCGGAGCTAGGTAAAAACAAACCGCACCAACGAGAGCAATTATGCGCAATAAGGCGCAATTATGCGCAAGCGAGCGCAATCTCAAAAAGTATAATTTTCAGCTTTTATAATTAGAGGAGGTCATAGGGGGTCTGTTCGTTGCATCTATTTTGGGGCAACTCAAAACAAACATATTTTCTTCAAACGAGCATATTTATTCATTCTCGATCGTATATTTATATTTATGTAGCAATGGATGGTGAAGGAACAATATGATGGGTTTGCCAAGCATCGGCAGCGGCTTCGGTCAATACTTGGTGATCATTGTTGATCTATATGTTGTAAGCCCCCAAAAGTTAGAAGTTCGTAAAATCCGAACCTAACATATAGTGATAATTGATCATTCATACTTTTTTGGGGATTACCATATGGTGCTAGTCAAACCGTGAAGTAGCTATAGAAAGTTTTGTGCGTTCATACATGTTCATACCATAATCAAGACATGACCACCCCACGGGCCCAGCGTGCGCTTTCGCAAGCTTCTGCATTCCCAGCTTCGACTGTGTTTTGGAGGTCCCTGGCTGACTGGTGGCTTGCAGCAAAACATACATCCGTCGCTGTTGTGGGGGATGATCCCCACCCCAAACTAGAACATATATGACATTCTATCAACATATATCAACACATATCAACATATATCAACATAATCATAATCAACATATATCAACATATTATATATATGCAATATATATGCTATAATATTATATATATACATCATTATCCATCCCTGTGATCGAATGTGAACACTGCTCTGATGCAGAGTTCCACCAGGGACCCAAAGGCTGACACTGGACGATAGGTCTGCGGCTCACCGGGTATCAAATAAGGACCTGCATGATCCAAACTTCAATGTCGTTGACTCAGGTCTATCTTGGAGAAATTTTTGGGAACAATCCAGCAGTGGAAACAATGCGATGTATCAATCCAGCACCTGTGAGACTCGATCTTTGCTTTTCCTTTCGACCAAGACGTACAAGACATTGTCTTCAGCCTGCAGAACAAGTTGGTCATAGCCTCCCTGCCAAGTGACACTGTTGGCTCGTTTCCCTCAACAGGTTTTCTGTCAACACCACTGATGAGTGTAGTCCTCCTTGGTCAATGACCCAATCAATGGTGTAGCCAATTCACTTTTAAGGTAATTTGAACTTTTAAGGTAATTTGAGGCAATACAAGGCTTGATGTGGAGTGTTTTCATGCTTCCTAAAAAGTCTTGCACGGCTGGCCTTGAACTTCGGGTGGTCTAAATCGCTGACCATCATATCATGTGGAATCTGAATATGGCCTGTCATGTTTGGAAAACGACACATTTCCAAAGGACGTCATGCCGAAAATACATGAACATTGCAAGCTGCACAAATCATGCGCAAACAACATATATGAAGCATTCGGATGCATTCGAAACCTCTTATTGATGTTGGACATATCATCGTAATACTACCGCAATTTATAGTTATCCAGGAGTAGATTAGAATATGGAAATGTCAGGAAACTACAAGAGTGGGAGTGTATTTGACACTCCATATGCTTTGTACTTCAGCATACATTCACGCCAAATTTAAGCTTAAACCAAAGCTGGGAAGCAACAGCCAACTCACCCTGGCCTTTCTTGAGCAGAACCTTGCTATCAGGAGTAGCCCACTCACATTTTTCGGTGATCTTTTCGATGATCAGCTTCGCACACCTGAGATGGGAGGTCCAAACCCATCTGTTGGATCCAGTGATCCAAGTACCATGCAACAGCATGGCGTGTTTCAATCCTGTCTTCCGAATTCCATTCTCCCAACTCTACCAAAAATGGATAAAAATGGTGGGTTCCAAAAAAACAGCACCTCCAAAATCCTCCAAAACAAACTTCTAGAAACGACATGCCGCTCTGCTGTTGCCCACCCAAATCCAACGGATCCCGAATTTGAGCTCCTCACTCTGCACCTGTGACAGCTGGCAGCATGTTACATATAATGTACGTATGCGTAACTTATATTTATTAACATATTTGTGTTGTTCTTGTAACATTACAGTAACATTTACATTGGCAAGACATGGTAAGACCCTCCAACATTCTGAAGTCAATTACTTTAAACATCTTTAAACCATCACCTTTGCCAAGATTCTTGGATCTCAGAATGGGTATCCAGGCCATGCTCATGCTCCATCTCCCAACATCCAGCAAACATCCAGGTCATCCAATGCATCGCACCTGTCTTGTTGTGGGGCATGATGAGTTTGTGTGGCTTTTCCGCTGGATCAGGATAGGCTTCCTGGGCACATCCATGGTGGCCCTGGTGGCCCTGGTGGCTCCGTGGCTCCGACCGAATAACATGGCTAGCGCTGATTCAGATTGTCCAACATATCAAAATATATCAAAATATATCAAATCAGACTCAGAAGTCATCAATATCCGATTCACATTCGCGTAATGTGTTGAATCAAAATCCATTAACCACCAATCCATCAAGAATCCATACATTGTTTGATATTGATCATTCAACCACTGATCGTTCCAAGGCGCCACAACCACCGGCAAATGGTTGGGATATTTCTTGCGGATTTTCGACACCTCCAGGGGCCGTTCCCAGTTGGACTCGTGCATCCCTTCAGAAACACCATGGCTATGGATGGCTATGGGCCACACAATCAGGCACACAATCAGGCCATCTAAGGCGCAGAATCCAAAGAATTCCATGAAAAGACTGAAATGGTGGAACTCAGTCAATCTGAAGCTTGAAAAAGGTCTTACATTTTGATCCTTACACACATATTCTATCATATTCTGAGATGCTACCAATTTTGCAGCAACTTCACAAATCTGACACTGGCTGTTGACATTGGTGCCAACGATTAAATCCTTCTGGAAAAGGGTGGCAATTTTGTCTAAAAAATACTGACAAATACTTCAATATTTCTGAACAAATCAAGCAGCCATCATTACGTGACTACACATATTATATCCATTATGGTTGATGAACATGCCAATTGTATTAATATCCCCACAATATTCCCGTTATTTATGTTATTTTCCCATGATTTCCTAAGGTATTCCCAGTATTGGACCTATCCCTCAAACCTTGCCGCCTGCACAGGGTCCATGGTTGCGTTCGCAGGGTGTCGCTGGCGCGGCGGCGTTCGACTCAGGTCTATCGCAAAAGAGCGGTTCGCTTACCGTTTGAACATGAATGAACACATCTGCAGCAGGATGCGGCAGGCAGGGTTTTATAGGATGCACCATGCCATGTGGCCAGGGTTCCAAGACTTGGTGGCTTGTTGAGCCTCTGCTAAAAGTCTAACCATGTCTAACCTTTAGTGGGAGATATATTAATGATGAAACCATCTACTACCAAAGATGCTAAAAAAATGAAGGGCGTGGCTATAATCAATCCAGAAAATCATTAGAACTTTTTCGGTGTTGATATTTCTAGGGTAGCCCAGTAGGATCCTTTTAAAAGCTCAAATGGCCCATCTCCAGGTCGCATGGGTCAAACTTGGTAACACTGGCTATGAGTCAAAATCCTGGCCTATACGGTAATGATAGGTTTTTACCCATCCCGATAGATATTATCCCCATGAGATTTCCCTGTTCCAAGGTTCTGGACCCTCTCTGGGCCTTGCTCCAGGTGCTTCTCTGATGAGGCCTGAGTGCGATCTTGGCCGCTTTTTCGAGCCTGGAGATACACTTTAAAGAGCACGAAAAACATGGAATGAGGATGGCCATGGTGATGAATGATGATGATGATGATGATGAGGATGACGTTGGCGATGACGACGATATCGTTTCAGCATGATGATCAGCGTAAAACTAGTGCAAATATGAAGGCCACCTGACTTGACAAATCACACATAAATATACATGGGGGTTGTCCAAAATACCTTTTCCCGGACAGCCCTCAATCGCTCAGCCAATCGCGTAGCAACCGCGGTACCACAGTGAGCAATCGCGGAAGGGTTTGTTCTTCGTTGATCAGATCATATACATAAAAAATAAGTTATGTATTATATAATGAGGATCCATGCGTGAACGCATTCGATTTCAAATTTGGGAACAAAATAGGCTCGCGCGGTCCGGAAACGGTCCGGAAAACTCACAGTAGTACCAGCAGCAGTAGTACTAGTAGTACTAGTAGTACTAGTAGTACTAGTCGTAGTAGTCGTAGTAGTAGTAGTTGTTGTTGTTGTAGTAGTAGTAGTAGTAATAGTAGGAGGGGTAAGAGTAGGAGTAGGAGTAGGAATAGGAGAAGGAGTTCTAGTAGCAGGGCAAGGGAAGAAAGGGAGAGGGAGGGAAAGAGAGAAAGAGAGAGAGAGAGGGAGGGAGGGGGAAACAGATGGTTGCGTTTGACCGGTTTCTGACGGGTTTCTGACTGGTTTCTGACTGGTTTCTGACTCGTTTCTGACCCTTCAGCGGAACTCGTGTCAATTGGATTTAAAAGCAAGAGCAGAAATTCCTAGGTGTACTAGTGGTAGTGGTGGTGCAGTAGCAGCGGGTGTGGTGGTAGTGCTGGGGGTAGTAGCAAATCTAGTAATGAGAGTAAGGATCCATGCGTGAACGCATTCGATTTCAAATTTGGAAGCAAAATAAGCTTGTGCGGTCCGGAAACGGTCCGGAAAACTCACAGTGCACTAGCAGTAGCAGTAGCACTAGCAGTAGTGGTAGTGGAAATTGGAATAGGAGTAGGCGTAAGAGTTCTGGTAGGAGGGTGAGGGAATAGGCAAGGGAGAGAGAGAGAGAGGTTGCGTTTGGCCGGTTTCTGACTGGTTTCTGACTATTTCTGACCCTTCCGTGGAACTTCTGTCAAGTGGAGAAAAGCAAAGGCAAAAATTCCTCGGTGTAGTAGTGGTAGCGGCGTTGCAGTGGTAGCGGCGCTAGTGGTAATACTGAGAGTAGTAGCAACACTAGTAGAAGGATCCGCCCATGAACGCATTCGTTTTCATATTTGAGAAGAAAAGAAAATTGCGCGGTCCGGAAACGGTCCGGAAAACTCACAGTAATACCAGTAGTAGGAGTAGGAGTAGGAGTAGGAGTAGAAGTAGGAGTAGGAGTAGGAGTAGGAGTAGTAGTAGGAGTAGTAGTAGTAGTAGCAGTAGTAGCAGTAGTAGCAGTAGTAGTAGCAGTAGTAGTAGTAGCAGGAGTAGTAGTAGTAGTAGTATTAGTAGCAATGATAAGAGCTGAGGTGGATGGATGGATGGATGGGATGCTAGGCAAGTGCTGCTTTTTGGTGTTTCTGACCTGTTTCTGACCTGTTTCTGACCTGTTTTCAATTGGAGCTAGCTTGAATGTCCTTCTGACCTGAAAACATCTGCGCGGATTCCGCGCGCGCGGAATCCGCGCGGCCATGTCAATTATTGGCATGGTTCTGGTCTCGAAAGTAGTAGTAGTAGTAGTAGTATTTATCAGAGATGGCAACAACAGTTGTCCAATTTCAGCTGACGACTCCTGACGACTCCTGACGACTCTGACGACCTCGATCGCTGACGACTGCTGACGACTCCTGACGACCCCTGACGACCCCTGACGACCCCTGACGACTCCTGACGACCCTTGACGACCCCTGACGACCCCTGACAACCCCTGACGACCCCTGACGACCCCTGACGACCCCTGACGACTGCCCTGACGACCCCTGTCCTGACGACCCTGACGACCGACTGACGACTCCTGACGACTCCTGACGACCCCTGACGACCCCTGACGACCCCTGACGACCCCTGACGACCCCTGACGACTCCTGACGACCCCTGACGACCCCTGACGACCCCTGACGACCCCTGACGACTCCTGACGACCCCTGACCGACTGCCACAGGAGATCTTTGTCCGTTTTGACGCCCCTGTCTCTGACCTTTGTTCGTGTGTTGAACGTATTGGTTTGTAGGGTGGATGGGCGGGAAATTTCAACAATTTACCCCACATATTCTGTTGAGCGTATTGCTTTGTGAGGTCGAAGGGGTTAAATCATGTTAAATCTATAACAATGACTCATATGCTAAACCTATTGCTTTGTAGGGTCGAGGGAGATAAGTTTCAAAAATGGCTCAAGATGCCAATGTTCTTCACATGTTCAACATATTGGCTTGCTGTAGGAGAAGGAATTAACGAATATAAGAATGATTACATTTCATTTTGTTCATATATTCAACGTAATAATTTCCAGGGGAAGGAAAAGACACCTTAAACATGGTTCATGATGCCAAGTTGTTTTATATGTTGAACGTAGTGTTTTGGTAGGGGACAGCGGGGAAAAAACATAACAATGACTCAAGATTCCAAATTGGTTGATATGTTGAGCGTAGCGTTTTAAAAGGGATGGGGGGAGATGGAGGGAGTACATTCAAACTTCAAAACAACGACTCAACATGTCAACTTTGTTCATATATTACAGGTACTGCTTTGTATTTTGTGGAGTCGACGAGAGGTTATAAATTGCAAAAATAACCCACATGTCAATTTTCTGCACTTGTTCAACCGTTTGCTTTGTAGGGTCGAGGGGGGCTAAATTTTAAGAATAACTCGACGTGTCAACTTTCACCGTAAAAAAAACTCGACGTGTCAACTTTCACCGTTTTTTTTTAACGTATTGCTTTGTAGGGTCGAGGGACTGTAAATTTCAAAAATGACTCAAGATGCCTTTCTTTCCATGTGTTCAACGTATTGTCTTGTTGCAGGGGAAGGCAAGGAACATTTTGACATAAGTAAAGATGCCATGCTGGTTCATACACTAAACATAGCGTTTCGTAGGGGACAGGGCAGGTAAATCCAAAAGAATGAATCAACATGTCAACTTGATCCATATGTTGAATGTATTGCTGTGTATGGTCCAGTGGGCGTAGATTCCAAACATGACTCGAAGTTCCAATTTTGTTCGTTCAACGTCTTGCTTTGTTGTAGGGGAAAGTAAAGACATTTCAAACATGACTCAGGATGCCAAGTCGGTTCATATGTCGAACAAAGTGTTTTGTAGGGGGCCGGAAGGTAAATCTATAGCAATGACTCAACATGTCAACTTTCTTCATATGTTGAATCAACCGTATGGTTTTGAAGGTTCGAGGGGGGGGGTAAATTTTCAAAATGACACCACGTGGTAACTTTCCGCATACAATGAACGTATTGTTTTGTAGGGTCGAGGGGGGTAAATTCGCAACAACGATTCCACGTGTCAACTTTCTTCCAACGTTGAACTATTGCTTTGTAGGACCGAAAAAGGGAATAAATTGAAAAATTGGTAACTTGAGAAATGACTCAAGCTGAGAATTGCCCCCATGTGTTCAAGATATTGTTTTTGTGGGGGAGGGCGGATGACAAAAGATGACTTAACGTTTCAACTTTGTTCCTATCTTCAAGGTTCTGACTTGCATGGAAAAGGACATGTTGAACACGTCTCAAGATGCCAAACAGGTTTGTTTGTTGAACGACTTTGAACGTATATTTTTGTAGGGCACAGGGGAGTAGATCTTTAACAATGACTCAACATGCCAAGTTTGTTCATTTGTTGAAGGGGGTGCTAGCTAGGTAGGGTCGAGGAGATGTAGATTTTAAAAATGACTCCGCATGGCAAGTTTCTTCATACCTTAAACCATTTGTCCCGCAGGGTCGAAGGGACGGAAATCCCAAGCATCACTCGACATGCAAAATCTCTCCATATGTTCAACGTGTTGTTTTGTAGGGTCGATGGGCTGTAAATTTCAAAAATGACTCAAGATTCCTTTTTTTCATGTGTTCAATGTATGGTTTTGTTGTAGGGGAAGGCAATGAACATTTTAACATAAGTCAAGATGCCATGCTGATTCATACGTTAAACAAAATGTTTTGTAGGGGACAGGGCAGGTAAATCCAATAGAATGAATCAACATGTCAACTTGATCCATATGTTGAATGTATTGATTTGTAGGGTCAAGGTGTTGGTAAAATTCCAAAATGTTCAACTATTTTCTTTGTAGGGTCGAGAAGGGTAAATTTGAAAACTGACGCGACATGTAAGCTTTCTCGGTATGCAAAAGGTTTTATTTTGTAGGGTCAGTCGAGGGGTTGTAAATTGCAAAATGACTCAAGATGCAATTTTTCTTCATGTGTTCAATGTATGAATTGGAAAGGGAGGGGGTGAAATTTTTCAAGACAAATCAACATTTCAACTTTGTTCATACGTATATTCAACGTATTGATTTTTGAGGAATAAAGAATACTTTTTGAACATGACTCAGGATGCCACGTTGGTTCATATGTTGAACGTAGTGCTTTCAAGAGGACAGCGACGAAATCTACAAAATGACTCAATATGCCAATTTTCTTTACATGTTTAACGTACTGCTGTGTAGGGTCGGGGGGTCGTAACTTTCAAAAATGACTCAAGATGAATTGTCTTAATTTGTTCAACGTATTGTTTTGTTGAAGGGGAAGGAAATGACATTTGAATCATGACTCGAGATGCCAAGTTAGCTCTAATGTTGAACGGACGTAGTGTTTTGTAGGGGACGGGCGGGCAAGTTTGTAGCAATGACCCGACTCAACATGTCAACTTCATGGTAAGGTCAGGGGGGGAATAAATTTCAAAACTGGCTCAAGATCTCAATTTGTTTCATGTGTTCAACATTCATATTGTTTTGTGGCGGGGGGAGGCATAAAAAAATGAACTGACTTAAGCCTTCATCTGTGTTCATAGTCAACGTGTTGCTTTGCAAGGGAGGAAACGATATTTTAAACGCAACTCAAGATGCTACGTTGGTTCATATGTTCAACTATGTTAAACGTAGTGTTTTGATGAGGTAAACCGATGAGAAGAACTCAGCCAGTCAACTTTTTCCATAAGTTCAACATATTATCTGGTAGGGTCGATGGGTGGTAAATCACAAAATTGACTCAAAATGCCAATTTTCTTCGTCTGTTCAGCGTATTGTTTTGTAGGGTAGGGTAGGGGGGCTGAAATATGTGAAAATAAATCAACACTTTTGACTTTGTTCATAAATTCAACGTGTTGTTTTGTGAGGAAGGAAAAGACATGTTCAACATGATTCAAGATGCCCAGTTCGTTTACATGTTCAATGCCTTGTAGGGGATGTGTTTGAAAATCTATATAACACTAACTACATGTGTCAACTGTTCATATAATATATGTTGAACCTATTGCTTTGCAGGGCTGATGGAAGGTAAGTTTATTCCCCTCTCTTACGCGCTATATGTTCTGACATAGTTTACGACATACCATGGGGAAGTATTTATGGCAAATATATTCTGATATTCTATCTGACATTCTTTCTGGCATTGTATCTGACGTATATTCTGCCATTCTGTTTGTTCGGGTCCAGGCGCGCTCCACAGCCTCCTGAGCGCGCGATATGGCTGTCGGGTCCAGGCATCCTGATCTCGCGGCATGGCACTCAGGTCGAGCCGCACTCCACTGCATCCACAGCCGGCGAGGAAGAAGAGAAGGAGAGGAAGGAGAGGAAGGAGAGGAAGGAGAGGAAGGAGAGGAAGAAGAGGAAGAAGAGGAAGGAGTCGCATCTTTGTTAAAATCTAGAAACCTTCACCTGGCAGGTGGGGAAAAAGAACTCAAGATAGAAGTTTTGTTCTGCTTTCAAATGTATTGTTTTGTGGAGGTTTGGGGGTGCAAAAAAATGACATAATGTGTTCAATATTCAAGGCAATTATATGCAGGGGAGGAAAAAAACATTTTAAACATCACTCAAGGTGCCAAGTTGGTTTAATATGTTGAATGTATGGCCTTGTAGGGTCGAGGGGCGGGTAAATTTTAGAAATGACTTGAGATGACAATTTTGTTGGTTCAACATATTGTTTTGTAACATCGGAAGCGCAAAAAATCTTGATGACGCGGACTCGACATGTCAATTTACTTCATTTGTTCGACATATTGAAAGGTCGAGGGGGGTATATTTCAAAAATGACTCAAGATGCCAAGTTGGGTCATATGTTGAATGTAGCGGTTTGTACAGGGCAGGAGGAAGGGGAAGAAATCATAACAATGACCCAAAATGCCAACTATGATCACATGTTCAAGGTATTGCAGTGTAGGGTCACGGAATTGTAAATGTCGAAAACCCATTCTTTGGTGTGTTCGAGGTATTGTTTTTCAGGGGAAGGAGAGGAGTTCAAAATATAAAGATGACGTGACATTTCTACGTTGTTCATATATTCAACGTATTGGTTTGCAAAGCTAGGGAAAGGACCTGTTAAACATGGCTCGAGATGGCTTGTTCATGCTGAACGATGTTGAACGTTGTGTTTTGTAGGGGCCAGAATGTATATATTGCTTGGTTGGGTCCAGGGGGGATAAATTTCAAAAAAAGACTCCACATGTCAACTTTCTTCATACGTTGAACGTATTGCATTGTAGGGTCGACGAGTTGCAAATTTCAATCATGACTCAAGATGCCAACTTTCTTCATCTGTTCAACGTATTGTCTTGTTGTAGGGGAAGGAAAAGACATTTCAAACATGACTCAAGATGCCAAGTTGGTTCATATGTTGAACATAGTGTTTTGTGTGGAGAAGGGACTAAATCTATAATAATAATAATGACTAGCAGAATGACTCGACGGGTCAACTTGCTTCATATGTTGAACGTGTTGTGTTGTAGGGCCGAGGGAGGTAGATAAAACATGGCTCAAGATAAATCAAAATGACAAGTTTGGGGTTGGTCGGACATGGTCGGAGTAAAACGACACAAATGAAATCTGGAGTTAGTTTCTAAACTCCTGTTCGGAACCCTGCGGCATCTTCGGGCGTCTTCGGCGTCTTCTTCGTCTTCGGGCGTCTTCGGCGTCTTTAGGCGTCTTTGGCGTCTTCGGGCGTCTTCGGCGTCTTCTTCGTCTTCGGGCGTCTTCGGCGTCTTCGGGCGTCTTCGGCGTCTTCGGGCGTCTTCGGCGTCTTCGGGCGTCTTCGGCGTCTTCGGGCGTCTTCGGGCGTCTTCGGCGTCTTCGGCGTCTTCGGGCGTCTTCGGCGTCTTCGGGCGTCTTCGGGCATCTTCGGGCGTCTTCGGGCGTCTTCGGCGTCTTCGGCGTCTTCGGGCGTCTTCGGCGTCTTCGGGCGTCTTCGGGCGTCTTCGGGCGTCTGCGGCGTCTTCGGCGTCTTCGGCGTCTTCGGCCCGAAGTTGGGGCACCTCTACTGCCATCAATGGTAATAGTAGTAGTAGTAGTAATAGTAGTAGTAGTAGTAGTACTAGTAGTAGTACTAGTACTAGTACTAGTATTAGTACTAGTACTAGTACTAGTACTAGTACTAGTAGTAGTAGTACTAGTAGTAGTAGTACTAGTAGTAGTAGTACTAGTAGTAGTAGTACTAGTAGTAGTAGTACTAGTAGTAGTAGTAGTAGTAATAGGGTGGTAGCCGTATAACCAATCGCCAACCAATCGCTCAGCCTATCGCGATGCAGGTTTTAGCAATCGCGCAAAGCAAAGTAAACGCATCAATTCATAAATTTGTGACCTGCTTTTACGGACGGCTCCCACATAAATGTACTGTACCTGTGTAACGACATCAAACCCTCATCCCCAAGATTCCAAGTCATAAAGAAACTCTCATTTGTTTCGGAGGCATCTCTCCATGCTGGTTTCACACGCAGGTTCATAGCTTCATTTCATCTGACTGAAAAACAATCCGGAAATCCGTACATCTCAAGAAATGATGCCATAAAACAATGTGAACTCATCCCCAAGGAGTCATACCTCTCTCCATCAAATCCCACAAATGGTTCCATTGGAGAATCCATGGCCCAAGTGGTCAATCCCACCAGTGGGTGAGCACTGACCAAATCTGCGAATGACATATCATGAAATATCAATATCGGATATTATTGGCATAATCTAATCACCATAGGAATGGGTTGTTTCACCACCGCCTCACCACTACCGTAGGAACCCCGTGTTTTAGCTGTGTCACTTTTTCTGGGCTAGCTCCCATTTTAGCACCAACCCCAACATTAGTTATAATATGTTATAATTGAACCAGCAAACAGCTATCACTTCGGTCTCCAAAACAAGTGGTGGTTTCAACCCTGGATTGCACATTAGCTGCTTACAGCTGGTTATCATAGCGGTTTCCGTCCCCCAGATAGGACAAAGATAGGTCCCACAGTATAGAACACATGAGTTTTCAACCATGCATGCAATTCCTCCACACATTGTACAAAACATGTAAAAATGATTAAACATGAGGTTCTTAGTGGCTGTACACTGTGTTGAAACTGTGTTTTAGACATAACATACCAACCGACACCCTGGGGACGGCACATATCTCTCCGCCCTGCCATGGATCAATGGGCATCCCCGGATTCCCGGTTGTGATAATCCCTGGGGATTTCCTAAGTCATGGGGGTACCCCAATAGCATCCAATAGCTGGATGGTTGATGGAAAATCATGGAAATCCTAAGTGGATGATTTGGGGATCCCTAGTCTCTTCGAAACCCCCAAATATCCCTAAGATTCCCTATATACGCTATATAAACCTGGAACCAATCAACCAGCTCCTGTTTCTGAAACCGTTCATCTCAGAAAACGACTGATTTACAGATCTATACAAATCTTCAATGATCTTCACACATTCGATGACACGCATGGCATCGTCAGTGGATGTCAGTGGTTTCATTGGCAAAGTGACGCCTTATGAAAACTGACTGAATTCACCGCACATTCCAATTGAACTTTGAACAGCGTCAACCATCTACAAACGACAGAGTAATTTGTAAAACCAAGCCTGACTATATCGGACGTGGATGCACAAGTGTAGCACGACATGACGTTACAGAGTCTGCACAAATTGTAAAACGAAAAACCTTGAATACAATACAATATAATATAATATAATATAATATGATACAATCTAAATCATGCACTTCGCAGGAGTGTTGTGCAGGAGTATTGTGTCTGAGTTTAGAGCACTGCAAAGGTCTGCTGCTTTGCGATAGTCTCGCCTTTGGCATTTGCCGTCCATGCGAGGCAACTGTACACATCTGCGAGCACAAAAACAAGTCAAAACATGCCTGACACGTTGGCGTAGTTTGAAGTCCTATAGATCCTATAGCAAAAACCACTAACAAATTTGACTCCTGTTGATCAAATCTCTCAAGATCTCCCATTGAGACTTCGGCTGTGATTCTTGTCTACCTGGCATTGTTTGACAATGGTGCGAACAATCGGGAACAGCTCGCTAGTGTCTAAATTCACATTTTGAAGCATACCCACGGCTGCTGTAAACCAAAACAACTCCAAACTGAGTCCCAGGAATGTAGTAACAATTTCACATCGATGGATCGCTGGCTGCGAAGGATGCGTGACAAAAAAACAGCCGTTTCAAGGTTGCTAAATGGGTTTGTGTGGTAAAATCACATGCCAGAGTTTCATTTTGTTTGCGCCTTGGTATTCTGACCAAAAATCGCCAACATCGCCAATGGTCTTTTGCTTTGACACTATAACTTGATTTAAATTGCACACTATGCTGTCAGCAAAAAAACAACAATTTCTGCAGAAAATTCACGAAAACTCATGGTGCAAATATACGATAACATGCGTGTAATATTGTATATATTAGCGAGTTTTAGCAAATCAATGTGCTGTAGTCGTGGGACTGCAAAAACACCTTTTGCATGGAATCGGGTTTCTATAATAGTGCCATCATGTTGTTTGTCAACAAGTCGCAATCATGCAAACACTGGTTGTACATACTTGCATGCTGGGCAACCAAACTGCTGGAAAATTGGTTCCTGGAGGCCCGTTCCGCAAAGTCAGCATGGATAATGATCATTTTTTGATTTGGGCTATTCAAGTGATATAATTTTCAACCATGTGAATATGTTGTATCTTGGAGTTGTGTGAAAAGTTGGGCCTCGGTGTAGCCGAATGCAGTTTTGCTTCAATATACACAGTTCATCATTTGTTTGATCCTGTGCATTTTCGGTCACTTTGGCCAGAATTTAACTTTGCTTGTTTCAGACGCAAATAGATGCAAATAATTAGATGATGTATACAGTAAATAATTATAAATATGTATAAATATTGTCATTGATAATAGAATTTGCATCTTGAAATCGTTGGCCTTGAACGCATCGTTGACTTTTCGTCTTGTTGCCTGGTGGCCTCAGAATTTTTGCACCGCCCTGCCCCCCCCCACCGGAGGATGCAGGACACCAAGCTGCCATCAGGACGAGCTTAGCTCGGTGCGAATCTTTTCGTGCATCTTGTTGAAGCGCTGCTGGGCCTACC